CCAGGAATTTTGCATTTTAAATCGTCTAATCTTGGACTGTAGTCGTCAATTAGCATATGAAGCAAAATAAACTTCCCTGTCATCCACTAAAAGCAAATTTAATCCCTGCTGCTTGATTGCCTATATCTCAAAGCAATCTTTCCTTCACTCCATACCCCAAATAATAGCTAAAAGCATCAATGTGGCGTGTGCAAAATGTAAACTGCCTAAAAATTCAGAATCCATCTAAACGAACGGTGTAATTTAATTTTTCTTCCTTCACGCTGCAGAGTAACTGCTTTTACTCAATAAGGGTTATCAATAAAAAGAGAAAGATTGAAAGGATTACTTTTGATTTTTTAGCCAAAGGAGGTGTGTAGTCAAGTGAAGATGGTGCGCATATGTTCATTCTGTTTGAAATGCGACAGGAAGTTGGTGTTGTTTTGTCGCAATGCATTGCTGAGCTTTTTCCATGATAATTAACTGACTTCCACTTTGACGACGTTTCATAAGTAGTTCAACTCTTTTCCTTAATTTTTATAATTTATTCAGCCGTCTGAGACCAAGGAAAATAGCTTTTATTTTCAACGTAATTTTATCTCCAACTTTTGGAATCTGGCGTGATTGGCAGCCCTATAAACGGCTAGTCAACCCAACGTCTGGGTCTTTGAAATTTTTGCGCAGATTGTTATGACGTCTGCTGGCAGACACCACTATATACGCCGTGTAGTTGAACTAGCTGGACTGGAACCGGTTAAAGCATATTCTATTTTTTTCTCTTACTTCGTCTTTTCAGGTGCGTAAACTACTCTCAGCGGGTACATTCTTTTTTGCGCGGGAAACGACATCTGGCATGCCCTATGATCTGACTCTCAGCATACAGAAGTACCACCTGTCGGTGAACAACACGGAGGTTGTCCGAGCCTGGGGAAAGTCAGATTTTCGCTTCTTGTGGAACAAGGGCCTGATGGCTGCCATCTCTCGTGTCGGCATCTGTCCAACAAAATGGTTAACACCGATAATCTGTGGCCAGTTCGACGTAAAGACCGTTTACTCAGGAAACAATCAATCGCGTGTGGGTCTGGTATCTCGCATATCAACCGAGCATCCTGGTACACGTTTCAATGTGCGCGGAGTTAATGATGACGGAGATGTTGCGAATTTTGTTGAAACTGAGCAGGTATGTAAGCCTTTCTCTCCCCCCCCTCCGTCCACTTCGGTGAAGGATGTGTTTTTTTATGTTTGATTTTATCACAAATCTCTTCACGCGTAAAGGCCTGGGTACCAGATTATTTCACCAAATTTCTTTTTCATGCATAAAAAAGAACTTAATTTCATTGAACACCCTTTTGTTGTCCCGCTTGTTAACTTACGTTTTACGCATTTCGACCCGCACAGCTTTAGAATTGACAACTGGTTAAGTAACTGAAGTCCAATCCTGGATTTAGGGTCAAACTTTAATGGTTCCTTCGTGTGGTTTTCAAGTCACTCACCCTAAAACTTACCCCTCCTCATTAATGTGTGGTTTGTCTGACCGTGTGTTTTGTAAGCATAGACTCGAACTCAACTTCTTCACCACCTGCGCCTACAACCCTCCCCAGCCCTCTTTACCCTGTGCAGTCACTGCATTTGGTAATAAAAACAATGAGCTAGCTGGAGCACGAGTATGTTTAAAGTGGAACCAATTTAACGCTTAATTTACCGTTGCACCCTCTCCTGGGCAAAGGTTGTTCCCATCATGTGCATATTCCTATCCAACATCTTCAGTTCTGCTCTAAACATGCATAATCTTCGCTTCTTCTTCTTCTTCTTCTTCTTCTTCTTCTTCTTCTGAACTTTCGACTCTCTTTCTTCCGCCCCATGACTTAGATTATTAAATGCGTGTTTGTGGTCAGGACTTAACTTTTATTACTTTCAGTCGTTTGGCACTGGTAAATTGGACATAATGGCATCGAGGGTCAGGCAATTGGATGCGCCAGTACTTTACTTTCTGTGGATCTTCCGGCGCCGGTCAGCTTTGGTTTTAACAATTCGACGAATTATATTCCCAATTAGGTTGCATAGTTAAGTTAATTTATGGGAAGTTCGGTATCAGCCCAGCTAGAGTTTTCGTCCTCCCTCCTCCCCAGTCTTATTGAATTTGTCTTTACACCGGAAGCAGAGTTGAGAGCGGCGAGCGAGTGGGTAAATTCCCCGCGAGTCTGCTTTATCTCTTGTTTCATTCG